ATCTTCTGCAAGAATATCAAGTGCTCTTAACCTCTGAGTCAGCCCCTATATGCTGTTTTTCATACTACACAGAAATATAGCATGTATGTGTATAAAACAATAAGCACCAGAGTTGGGATGATGGTTACTGTGCAAAGAGGAAAGAATTGTGATTGAGGAGGGTCTGAAGTGAATACATTAAAATGCTCAGATTTGCCAGAGCAGGATGGCTCAGCAGGTAAAGGTGCTTACCACCAAACATGCTGGACTTTCAGTCCCCAAGACACAGATGGTGAATCGCTTCTTCTTCTTCTCCTCCTCCTCCTCCTCCTCCTCCTCCTTCCTCCTCCTCCTCTTCTTTTAAAAGATTTTATTTAATGTTGACTGATCTTGTTTGCTTGATCTTGTGCATATTTTGTGCAGGCAACCACAGCTGCAGTGAGTTCATGAATGCTCACTCAAATCTGAAAGTTCATGTTGTAACCTCTACTGTCTGCATTTCTGTCAGGATTACAATCTTTCACACTCCCAGCAGAACCACTTATTTTTTTATTTACTATTTTTATTTTTTATGTGTATGTATGTATTGCCTGCATGTAGGTAAGTGCACCCGTGTCATGCAATGCCCACGGAGGACAGAAGAGGCTGTCAGATCCCCTGGAACTAGAGTTACAGACATTTGTTAGCTGCCATGTGGGTGCTGGGATTCAAACCCGGGTCTTCTGCAAGTACAACCAGTGTTCTTAACCACTGAGCCATCTCTCCAACCCCATGAATCACTTCTTAAAAATTGTCCCCTGACCTTCACATAGACACATGCTCATGTTTGAGCACACACACAACAGATAAATAAATAAATAATTTTTAAAAAATTGGCAAAGTCTTGAAGTAGACACTGTGCCATGTATTTTAGGTGTTTACATTACAGTATAATATTAGAATATCCAGTACAGATTAGAAAGCCTGTACTCTGAAAAGATATAGGAGAAAAATGCCAAAATGACTTTATGTCTACTGTACTGTGCCCCAGAGTGAACCTCGTAGGAAAGGGAGTGGTACAGGGTTATCTACATAGAACTAAAATGACAGAGAATCATGATAGGCACATGATCAGAGACTGACACAGAGCCAAGAGATAAATCTTCAACAGTGTGAAAGAGCAAACCTGGAGGTACACAGCAGCACAGTAGAGATACTGTGTAGTATATACTAATGATAGATGGAAGAGTTTTAGGAAGGAGGGGTGAGGACTGTCTTTAAAAAAAAAGGACAGGAATATGGCTACGACACTGTGACAAGGCTGAGTAGGAGGATGGGTACAAGGGAAGCGGGGTCAGAAGAAAGACTTTAGAACAATTCCCCCTTTAGAACAGAGAGTTAAAGGAACAAGTAAGAGGAGACGACAGATACAGAAGGCTCTGCTGGTGATCATGACTTCCAAAGTGCTTTCAATAGATGTATGTATATTAATGGATTAATTAAAAAGTTAGGTATAAAATGTAAAAGTACTCCTAAAACGAAAGGCCTTATTATATCCTCTTTAACTTCCTTGATTGAGGGAATTTCATTTTGTGTTCTTGGTTTGCTTTACAATAATTTGCATTTTATATATTGATGATATTCATTCTTAGACCCTTTAACTTTTCCCCCACGAGTATTTTTATAATACCCACACATCTCTTCAACTTGTTTGGCGGTGAGAGAAATTCTTTTCTTAGGTAAAGTAGAACCATGCAATTATAATAGAATAGTTTATTATATTTCTGCCTTAAATATGAATTTAGTGCTGACTGGCAGTTTTTTCTTTCACTTTTTTGTGTACTATGAGTATGGGTATATGTGTTCTCATGTGTTGGGCACATGTGTGTGCGGGTGCATGTGGAAGCAGAATTCAATGCTGGTGTCTTCTTTGATTGCTCTCTACTTTATGTATTGAGGCAGGGTCTTTTATTTGAACGTGGAACTCACTGATTCAGCTAGTCTTATTAACCAGCTTGCTCCAGGGATCCTCTGTCTCTGCTTCCCTAGCACTGGAATTGCAGGTGGGTCCCTGTGCTTGCCTACCTTTTACTTGAATTCTGGGGTATCTGAACTCCAGTTCTCACACTTGCACAGCAAGTACTTTACCTTTTACCAGTCCGTGATCAGAAGAAAAGTTAAAAATAACATTATACAAATCTCTCATTTTTAACTGACCAGAGATTCTTATGTTTTGCCAATTTAATCATGGGTTACTAGGAGAAGCGGGACTTGAATCCCTGCCTTCTGCTCTCCTCAAACTCATGGCAAATCCTTACCTCTGCCTCTAGAGTTTCTGGGATTACAGGTGTGAGCCACTGTGCCTGGCTCCTTCTGTTTATCTCTGAACAGCAAAGGCAGAGGTACCCATTAGTCTGAGCATTGTATGCCAGTGGGTACATACAGGCTTTGATGACAGACTAAGTTCAAATCTGAGGTCTGCTATTTATTAGCTGTGTGACCCTGGTTGAGTAATCTAATAGCTCTGTGCCTCAGTTTATTCATCTAAAAAATGAAAGATGTAATAACTCTGAGATTTGTTGTAGAGAATAAATGAATTAACTTACTGAAACAGTGTAACACACATGTAGTGACTAGAAATCTGAGCATTATTTATCACACATTCTGCTAGCTCTTGATTTAAAAAAGATTAGAGTCAGTGATTTTTGCCCATAGCTGTCTTTATTTGATCTGAAGTTTAAGAGACAAAAAACCCAGCAGGGAGTGGTGGTACTTGCCTGTAATCTCAGTACTCAGGAAGCTGAGGCAGTAGGATTGCCATGAGTTCAAGGCCTGCAAGACTGTGTCTCAACAAACATTCATACAAAACAAACAAAACAGAACAAAACAAAACAAAACAAAAAAACTCCACTTGAGACAGTGTTTACCAACTTTGGTACTCCATACAGAGATCCAGATTTTAGTTTCTCATGAAAGCTGGAAGGCCTAACATGTTAGGTCAAAAATTTCAGATTCTAACAACTGGCTGGTAGTAACAAAGTAGCTCCCCATTCACATAAACTTTCTTTCTTTTAACTGTGCCTGCCTAATACCATTTGCCCTTATATTTTCATCCCAGGCTAAAACAACCCTTGTCCTCAAGGAACTCACAGTCTACACATTTCCCAATGCAGTGTGATAGGAAAAGAGTGCAGTGCTGCCAAGTAGAGTGTAGCAATGGCCTGGTGAGTAGAGGTGCATCCTGAATGATGGAGATGCTGATGGAAACCTGTGTTGTCAGCAAAGGGACTCTGAAAAGAAAAGGAGAGGAAGGAGCTTGAAGAGAGAATTGAATGTGCAAAGAAATTAAAGTGGGAACCAGCTTATGCATTTGGCAACCATAAGCATTCTGTTCTGTAGAATTTAGTGAGAAGTAGAATGAGATAAACACAAAACAATAAAAGTCTCCAATTTGGATTTTACTATGTCAGGGATGGACAACTCTTGAAATGTTTTGTCATTAAAGTACAAATCTAACTTTAATGCTGTTATTCCTGGATGTTGTTACCGTCTTTGGCCAAATGCCTTTAGATCATGTTTGAGGAAGAAATGATGTATGATGCATCATATTCTATGAAATATCTTTCAATAGCAAATTATTCTTATCTTCATGAGTGGTGAAACAGTTTTTTTGTTTGCTTGTTGAACAGGATCTCCTGTAGCCAGTGCTGGCTTCCATCTCGGTTTATAA